TGTACAGTATGTACAGTATGTGGAAAATAATGTGTTTTTTAACCTTAAACCGCATAAACACATTGCATTACACCAAATACACAAAATAATGTTCTTTTTAGCAACGTCATATGACCCCTTTAAATGATTCTGTTATGGGTTGTGTAATCACCACCGACAGTGCACTGTTTTTGCCATCATATATTGTCACTTGTTGGCCAAGGCCTGTTACACATCAGTATTCTGAGAAACTGCAATGACCTTCGGCAGTTTCTGTTAACAATGTGCATAATTTACAGTGCCATTTGGGACTGTTTTAATTTGTTTATTATAATAACCACAACCTGACAAAAAAAACCAAAAAAAAAACTGAAAGTATCTTTGAGCTCTAAATAATTTAAAAACAATTAAAAGTTATTTCGATCAAGGACAAAAGTACACTCCTACACATTCATAACTTGTTTGGAGAATCTCTATTTTGAAGACCTATCAGTGTGTACCGTAGTAAGTGCTTTATATACATGTATTGAATTTCAATAGTGTCTGTGTTTTGTTACTGGTCTAAAATTTAAAGGGAGAAAAGGATGTAAATAGATGAGCCTAACAACACATTCTGTAACAATGTTAAGATATTTGCATATTTCTGTACTGTAAATACATCTCCTTTTGTTTTGTCGTTTCCATTTTATTATTTACAACATTTAGAAGACCCATATCAAAAGCAATTTCTGGTTATCATTATTATGCGTCTCCACCTGTACATTGTCCCAGCTCACTGCCCGAGCCCCAGGTGTTCATCCACACATCCATGAGATGTCCATATGGATGTTGGCCTTCACCTTGACGAGGTCTCAAAACAGTAGGAAAGGGTGAACCATGAAAAAGGGCTGTTGTAGGACTATAAAATCTTGAAAATCATTTTAAAAAAAGTGTGTATATTTTTAGTGCAACTAGGTCTAGGATATAAAAGCATTGCTATCATTCTGTCAGATTTTAGATACTGCATGTAGCAGCAAATCCATCACACTAGTTTATTTATTTATATATTTTAGTTTATTTATAACATTTTCATTACATATATACACAAATGCTGAATTCAGAAGGCTAGAGCATATGCAAAAGAACAAAAAAATAAGCATAGTCAATTATTAAATTGGCAATTATTAGGCCTACTGTAATTTGAAGAGGTATCTGTTATTGAAAGCTATTTTACAATCCATTAGAACAATTGGACTGCTCCATCTTGCTAATATTGATGGCTCAGAAAAGCATCACAATCACAGCACAGGACATCTGCAAAAATGTTCCTCACTCTTTTGCGCAACCAGAAGATGGTGCTGCTGATGATAATAACCTAGACTGACAGTGCTCAGCAATTGATGCCGCATAATATCAAGAGAGCTGCAAATACCACCTCAACAAATGAATGAATAAATAAATAAATAAATAAACAAATACACATTAAAAAGCAAGCAAACAAACAAACACAATTTAATAAAAGAAATGCCATAATATAGAATCAAATCATTTGTATAAAATAATACTAATAATAAAATAAAATAATTAAACTAGTCGTTGTTCAGTGTAGCGTATATATATATAAAAAATCCGATTAGACAACCTTTAGTTCGCCTATAATGGCAATAATAGGCTACATGAATAATTGCTCACAGAGACGCAGAGTGAAGTAGCATGATAGTGTTGTTTAGAAAGTCCTTAAATATTTGGAAACGTGTTTTCTTATTTTTATCCACGGTTGAATCAACAATAGGCTATAAAATGAAAATATTTTAATGATCGCCTGACTGCATGAACCAGCCAGCGAGGTTTCGATGCGCCTGATTTTAACCAATCAGACACCTCACCGTCTGTCAAGCGCAGAGAAAAAACACACATGTCACTACAGCGGTTGTCTCGTCCTGCTTTCTGATTGGCCAGTGAGTATGCCACTCTAAAGCGCTTCGCTACTACTACAGGTCGGTGCGGATCAAACACCTTGCAGTCGGTTCAGAGCCATTGATAAAAAGGGGGTCTCTCTCGGATATGGTGGAGTAGGCTACATCGGGGCGGCTTGGAAACCACCTGGTTTGGAATAACCCGATGGAAATTGGAGGACGGGGGCCTTGCGAAGTCCGTCTCGTGGAGGTTTTCATGGAGCGTTGAGATTATTATTATGTGGTAGCTTGCCTTAATGATGTTTACATCCCCGGTTTTCCCATTCATCGTGTTTGTGTGCATGGGGTTATCCGAGGCGGTTCATTCCTACGATGCGCTGCCTTTAGTAATAAGGAAATCTCGTTCAATCGCCGAAGAGCATCCAAATTTTTCACTTCCAAAAACGGTATACTACCGTAAAATTTATGTCCAATACATGTAATGTCCAATACAGTTTTTCACCGTATATAGTAGAGGAATTTACCGTTAACCATTTAACAGGTTTTTACTGTAGCATTTTTACAGTCTTTTACCGTTAAATTCACAGTCATTTTTTACAGTGTAGAAGCAACTTATTCCACAGTCTCGGCCCCATTACTGCAAAAGCTTGATCGCCTTTCTGATGATGGTTTGTCCTGTAGGCACTACCAGAAGTTTATAATTTTCTGAGCGAAAGGCTCTAGGGGCATTATGCGGTTTCATCTATCTATCTATCTATCTATCTATCTATCAATCAATCAATCAGTCAATCAGTCAGTCAGTCAGTCAGTCTAACTGTAAAAAATGATTGTGATTTTAACAGTAAAAGACTAAGTTTACTATATACAGTGAATAACTGCATAATTACATTTAATGTAATTTTACAGTAAAATACTGTTAAAGCTGCAGTTTTTGGAAGTGAAAAAGAAAGTAATTGTATAATTTACAGTGAAAAAACGTAAACTGACATTCCCAGAATTCCCTGCATGACATTTGATCTTTTCTTTTCACTGAAATAACTATGTTTCTTCTTATTTTTGTTCTTATTAGTTGCGTACGTTAGGGTTTTATCTTACATCTAATGTTGTTAAAATAACGTGTATTGGATTATTTCAGTATCATGTGTGTTACCATGATGTTTAGTATTTGTGTGAATGACACTATCTATCTATCTATCTATCTATCTATCTATCATATTTTATGTATCTAATTGTCTGTCCACTATCTATCATCTGCCTATATCTGCCATAGAGTCTAAATCTATCCTTCCATCCATCCATGCAATGATTTAATTTACAACTTGACTTTTTTTTATTTACATAAAATTATTATGCAACAGTCTATCTTATGTCAAATGCTGGGTAAGTGCCTATCCATTGATATAATATGGCAAATCATATTGTAATATGCTCATACAGGCCCTTCATTGATTGAGCTGCAGGGTATTT